ATCAAGTTGCCCTTTCGCCCAAAATTAAATAATAAGAATCCAAATCAACATACTTAGCATCCAAAAACGTGGAAGACTTGAGATCATTTTCTTCAAACACGTCGCGAACTAAGCATCGCCTGAATGAGTGAGAGCGTCTTTTCTTCGAGATCAGGTTGGACTGATGAATTGATGGGCTGGTTTTACCACGACGATCATCATTTCCCGATGCAGGTGAAGTCAGACTAGGGGATGAAGAAGCACCGTGAGCATGCTCACCAACGAGTTGTTCATCTGATTCATCTTGGCTGTGAGCAGGTGCGGCCTGACGCCTCTTCGAGTGAAAACTAGCCTTTCGATCTCTTGGAGTTGCTATCAGCAAAACATATTAACAAAACACGAGTAAAATTATAAAATAGGAATACTTACTGAAAGAAGATAAACCGGGTGCTACTATACGATTAAAAAGAATTTTCTAAACAGAAAAGAAATAAAGGACTTAAAAATAAGCCAAATACTGGACCTAGAGTGTATTGAACATCATTTGAAGAAGCTTTGAAGTATCAGGAAGGTATGGAGGCTTGATAAGATGAAGTCTCATGAATAAAAAAATAAGAATACATAAAAGATATATCTAAATCTGAAAAATAGAAATGATACATACCCGACTTTATGTCTTCGCTCCACAATGAAGAAACACGCTTAGCCTCAAACAAATCATCTTCAGATGTAAGGCAATCTTGAACAAGAGCAGAGCGTTCTCTTCCCCGTCTCCCTGAACGAAGTACAGGCTTGGAAATGCGATGTCTACTCCATTTCTTGATTGATCGTCTACTTTTTCTACTTTTCCAAAATGGACCTGGAAATCCAGAATGTGCACATTCTGAGTCACTTTCTGAGCCATGTACCGAAGAAGCATGAGAATCTAAACGAGTTGAAGGATCAAGGCCATAATCCCGAGTTGTTTCATTCCAACGATCTTCTTGAACCTCATCATCTTCGGCCTCCTCTATCTTGGGACTAGGTGGTTTGGGTTTTCGGCGAATCTTTGGCAGAGCAGAACGTAATCCAGTAAACATGCCGAGACCAAACATTCCTAGAATGGGAAATTGCGCCTGGCCATTTGCTCCAGACAAAGCACTTGATTGAGTAATTGAAGAAAGGTTAAGTGTATCAGAGGCCTTAGAAATAGTCAAAGCATCAGTTTCAGAAAAAATTCTAGAACAAGACTTGTCAATCCCTTCCGCGAACAAGCGAGAAGATTCATTTTTTTCAATCAAAACTTCTTTGGATTCATTCGAATTTCCCAAAGCATCGGAAGTCAGTCCAAGAGCGTTGGAAAAGTGGCTTGATGGTTTGCATTGATGAAGAGACTGCACCTCTATTTTATTTTGAGCAGAAACTTTTGAGGAAACCTGATCGGGTGATGAAATTTCCATAAATCGAAGGATTAAAATGATAAACAAATAGTAATTAAAATAAAGCCATGCGAATCGATTAAACACGAAATAGGAGAAAATTATTTATTCCGGCGATAGGCAAGAATACTCAATGATATAAAACTCACTCTAAGTCCAAGTTCACAAGTCTCCCACCAAGTAGTAAATGCACGAAAAGCATTGCCCTCCACGAGCCGTCGAGCTATATCGCGGTGGAGTACACTCTTTAGCTCATTAATGAAGGAGTCAAGGATAAGATCAGTATACTTGTCCAAGGCATCATCAGACAGCTGCCGAGGAGTTTGCAGAAGAGGAGCACGATAATTGTGGATACTATTTGTAGAATAATTAGATGCATTTTCAGGAGGAGTTGGAAGTAAAGTTCTGCGATTTGGCAAAGTACTATTACCTTGTTGATCAATTGCTGAATTAGATTCCTGAATTGCAATGTGACCATTTCCCTTGCCTAAGGCACAAGAATTAGAACAAGATCTAGCATGTGAGTGTGAATTATCAGGCTTATTGACACGAAAAGAAGATTGATTATCACTAGAGTTGAACTGCAATTTGCTGGAAGTCTGGTGTGAAGATGTTTTAAAGTCGTCCTTATTAGAAATAGGCAAATTGGCTGAGGAATGAGCTGAAAATCGCAACCTATTGTCTGCTCTAAATGTACTTCTTTTACTAATCTCTGGTTCAACAGCTTCATTAGCTAGGGAATGGACTGATCTAAAGTTTGACCGACCTTGATGCTGCGGGGAAATATTACCAGATGTTTTAGAAATAGCCGGTTTCAGAAGTTTTTGTATTCTGGCTTCTAAAGACTCTTCACCAACCAAATTGGCGCCATTTAAAGATGCCATACCGCCATGCGTATAAGAAACATGCTGTCTGCTTGTAATTGGCTTAAGTTTCAATCTAGAATCGAGACTGGTTGAAGCCAATTTTGAGGATCCAACGTGTTCTAATAGTTCATGGTGTTGGTAATAATCTTGTTTTATCCCATGAAGACTTTCTGCCGCAGAGCCATAGTTTTTGTGCATTAAAGACTCCCTGTCTCGAGAAAGTGATGGGTAGACGGAAGGCAAAGTTTGAGAGTTAGGTATAGAATGCGGAAACGTAATTTCGCTTTGGAATTGTGAAGGTATTGGAAGGTTGTGAGTATAAGAAAGATTTCTTTCATAGCTCTGATCAGCTGAGATAGAAAAAGCGGAGTGTTCCTGATAGGAAACTAGGGCAGTATTCAAAGGAGGTTGTCCATTAGGAAAGAGATCTTGTAATTGACCATAGACTAAGTCTCGTCGAATAAGACCCATGGGGTCAACTTGAACGGTCATGATATTGCCCATCTTAGACGTTTGATTCAACATTTCTGCACAGGTGCGGGCATTTCGAGAGGACTTGAAGACGACTTTACCAATCCCAAGGTGCTTTTGCGTTTTAGGATGGTAATAAATCTTTGTCTCTTCAATAATACCAAACTGTTTGCACATGTGTTCAAGATTTTTGTAACTAATGTTATCATTGAGGTTGGAAAATGTAACCTCCTTGATTGGGCGCTCTCCCACATAGTATTGATCAAATTTGAAACTGGGAACAGGTAAATCCAAAGTCTTTTTTCGGCAGAGAGCAAAGCTCAATTGAGGCCTTGGGTCGACCACAGGATCTAAATCTGACACTCCATCCTTGATTTGTGTGGAATTATTAGAAAAAGCTTACCTCAACTATGCCGTCAAATCTATAAACAGGTACTTGATAGGCAGGATCAAGCTGAGGATCACATAAGAGCTTTGCTGCTATAAAAGGAATGATATTTGCCTCGCCCATCATCAAAATATCAAAGTACAAACTTTTGTAAACGCAGTGATACCCTCACAGGCAAGGATGCTAGTGAGGCGTAGCTAAATAGAATAAAAATAAGACAAATTTAAATGTTATGAGATATAAAGCCTCCAACGGCATTCATTATCTAAATTTATACCTTTGAAATACCGAGACTAACTCCACATAGCAAATTATACATAAGGATATATTCTTACAAAAAAGAAAAACAGGACAGTACTCGTATCACAACCATAAATAGGACGCGCGCTCTATCATAAAAATGTTTAAAACA